AAAAAAAAAAAAAAAGAAGTAATTTACTTTGTTGCATTCCCGTGTCTGCAGCGGCAATTATACTTTTTCAAAATGAGAAGCAGGTGAAACGTGCAATTATACTTTTTCAAAATGAGAAGTAGGTGAAACGTATTTCGCCTCCGTAGGTCAAGTTTTAGATTCGATTTTTTTTTTAAAATTATTAATTTAATATTATATATTTTCTTGTAAAAGAAAAATTTATTTACTTTGTCATGGTATAACTCGGTCTCTATACCGTTGGATAAAGCCATCTTCCTATATTTGCAAATGAACACGGCTTTGTAGTGGGAAAGGAAAGGAAGCTAAGTAACCGTCAAATACCAATACTAATCAAAGTCATGGTAAGACCCCACGAAAAATTAATGACCCTGACTTTGACAGGCTACAGTATATATTTGGTTTTTTATTTTATTAAATTTATAGTTTTTAACTTTTTTATCTTATATTTTAAAGTTTTTAACACTTAATTTTAATGATTTAAAGATTTGAATTTTTAAATTAATGTAATTCGATTAACTCTTAGTTAAGGTGAGAATAATATTTATATAATCGGTGTTTAAAAATTAAAAATGTAATAATTTAATTTTAAAAGATTAAAATTTTAAAAAATTAGTAAATTAAAAATAATTAATGAGTAATTTTGTTATATATATAAAAATAGTATCAGATATTTATAATCAAATTAATTAGCTCAATTTGAAAAAAGAAATTTGATTAAAATTAAATAAAATTTCTCGACCATATTCTTCTACTCAATTGGATTTTTTATTTTAATTTAGCTAATAAATTTTCTTTAGTTTCAATTAGAATTTTTTCTTCAACTTAAGCTAATAATTTGATTTGATTATAGATGTTTAATATTATTTTAATGTATGTGAGAAAGTCATCATCAATTTTTTTAACTTTATTAATTTTTTTTTTTAATTTTAAACCTTTGGAACTAAATTATTACATCTTTAATCTTTGATAATTGATCTTGTAAATATTTTATTTTCTCTTTAATGAAGAGTTAACAAATTCCGCTAGTTTAGAGATTAAAATCTTCAAAATTTTAAGTTTAAAGGGTTAAAAACTTTAAATTTAATAAGATAAAAGGTTAAGTATATATTTTAGTTGACTTTGAAGACCCTCCTCAAATGACCCAAATTTCCAAACACATGCTAACTGACAACTTTGAAGACTCACGTTAAATTTCAATGCCGGGACAATGCATTCCACAGAAGACCCAATACCATTCCAAGTTCAAGGAAGACTGATGCTAATACCAACCCATGTCCCGCAAGAGACTTTAACCAATGTTAAATATCCAATGATGAAGAATTCATCAGAATAAACCGCCTATGCTGTGAATTGTTTCTCATCTTACTCCCTAATGGAAGATATGAGAGATTCAACAGCATTGCCACAGATTGTGAAGATTGCGAGGTTGGTAGTTAAGTTTCATCCGCTATTCATAGTGACCAATCTAATCTTTGGGGTAATATTTTTACATGATTGGATTGAAGAGGAGGTGAGCAATCAATGGAAAATTCTAAAGGTTTATTGTCAATCAATAATTAGAGCCTTGCTGGATCCAGTTATTGAGAAGATGAAGAATCTATCCGAAGCCCTCCAAATGCATTTCAACAATGAAGTAGCAAAGGGTCAACTAAAGGCCAAGCTGGTTGGTAAACTTGCCCTGTTCTCCGCCTCATTTCTTCTGCTTGATACAGAGTTGAGTTCAAAATATGATAAAAGAGGGGCTAAAATACAGTTATTGTTGCTTATTGGCCTCAGTCTTCTAACACATTCAAAGCATTGGAGTGAACTTCGAATTCTTCGTGGAAGTTGTGGCTACATTGCAAATTCAACATCAAACTTCACCTTCTTTATTCTAACTCTACTTTTTGCAAAGTTTTATGGTAATTCTTTGAGGAGCCTTAGTTCTATGTTGTGCATCGCAGTTTATTTTCTATGTCTACTTGTAGTATTACGACCCCGGACAGACCTTGGGTTGTTTAATTTCATCATTGGAGTCATTGGATCCATTACTTACAATCGCTACAACTTGAAGTTTCCAACGTGGATTATTGCCTTCATTTGTTTTGTGTTGTTCAGTTTCAAGAGTTGGATAGATAAATATTGGTTGAATTTGGAAGAAGATCCCTCTACAAATACCACAGCTGGAAGCACCAACGTGTTTTTGATTTTTTCGTCGATTGTTGTATGTCCAGCACTAGCCATCTTCGCGTCTTCTGCAGTCAAATCTCCCATGTCTGATTATAAAAGTTGGTTAGTTAAAGTAATCAGTGCTGTGATTTGGATTGTTCGGCTCCATAAGTTCTATCCCAATCCCAAAGATAGCTCACTGCCCTCTACAAATAACAAAGGAATCAGTGGTTTGATTTTGATAGTTGTAAATGTTGCACAAGGGATTTTCTCATTTGCTATTGTCATATGTCCCATGGTTGGTTACAAAGATTGGTTATTTGCAGTAATTAGTTATGTTGTTTTCTGTTTTTGGGTACGAAGCTTTTTTCCTAAAGATTTGTTACCTCCCTCTACAAATACTAAAGGAATCACAGGCATGATTTGGTCTTTGCTATCTATTGCCAAATACGATATTGTGGTGTTGGCTGGTTTAGAACCTCGTGTGCACTACAGAGAATGGTTAGTTGCAGTAATCTGTTATATGCTTTGGTGGGTTCGGTTACATATGTCCTTTCCCGAAGATCTATTACAATCCACCACAGTTGAGTTTAAATCTCTACCATGGTGGATAATGGTGGTATTTAACATTCATTCAGATGTCATACCTTGGATCCAACGGCTATTTACAACAACACATCAACAACAAGGATAATAATCTTGCACACTAAGTAGTAAGTACTTGGGCTAATTAAAAAAAAAAAAGTACTTGGATGTATGAAAGTTTTATATTAATTCCTATGTCATTCTCTTTTTCAAATACATGTTTATTATATCTTGTATCCTTATTAAAACCCATTGATCATCTATAATCTTTTAGTCATTTGTGTTTTATGTCAGTTTGGATTTATTGCAACTAGACTTTTGTTATATAGATATCAAATGGCAACCCTTTATCTTATTTTAAGATGAATGGTTTTTTACCATCTAATTCATAGATACCAATAAATTGGATTCTCTACAAATTGACCCATGTCTACAGGGGTGAGAAACTAGGGAGAAATCAAGGGTAATGCCCTTTTTCTTTTATAACCTTAACTCTAAGACCTTTTTCCTACCCCATCAAATAGATTTATGGTAGGGCTTTTGTTTTTTGTTTTTCATTTTTTTTTTTTGGTTTTTGTTTTTTGTTTTTTGTTTTTTTTGGCAACCTTGCTCTTAAATCTTTTCATTTCTTTTTTCTTTTTTCAGGTTGGATAGGGCTCACGCCTAACCCAACCTCTAAGTAGTTGTGCCCCTGCACATCTTGCATCATGACTCTGTAAGTTGTCTTAAAGAGTCAATCCGACAAAAACTGAGTCTCCTTATGGATAGGGGTGGCAATTTCTCCCGATCCCCATGAGGCCTCGCGAGGATCCCCGTCACGCGGACAGGGCGGGGAGGAATATTCCTCCCCTTGGGGCGAGGATGGGGGCATTTCTCCCCGTGAAATTTCGCAGAGAATTTTCCTTGCCCAGTGGGACCCCGAGGGGATCCCCATCCCCGCAAAAAATTAAAAAAAATGTATATTTTAAATTTAATTTAACCTTTAAAATCAAACCCAAACCCAAACCCAATTCAATAAAAATTAAACTTTATCCAATGCAAGTACCCAACCCAACGCATCCCATCATCCTCCTTCCAACCCTAATTTCCTAAATGTATTCATTTCCCTTTCTCTTCACTCACGTAGCAGTGCAGCACACCTCATAGCCCTCACTCACTCACTCCCTTTCTTGCTTCTGCAGTTTCTCCTCACTCACTCTCACGGTCTCACCTTCGACTTTCCACTTCCCTTTTGGCTTCTGCTGCTATAGATCTACTACAGATTTGCTACTAGAGATGCTAAAGATCTGCTGTCGAAGTCGCAGTATCCCATCATCCTCCTTTTAACCCTAAGTTCCTAACCTTATTCCTAACCTTATTTTATTTTATTTATGTTGGGTTGATTTTTCTTATATTTGGAACAAGTATGTTACTTTATGTTAAATTAATCTCTATTTATATTTGGAACAACTTATGTTTTGAATATGCTGCTTTAAGTCGGATTAATCTCTATTTATATTTGGAACAATTTTGTTGATTTAATTATTTATGTTTAATTAATTTTTATTTATATTTGATGCAAAAAATATATACTTTGATATTAATTAGCGAGAATGGAGACGAGAGGGACTGCTCGACCCCACGAGACCCCGTTGATATCCCTACTTATGGAGAAGAGATCGAACTTCACTTGCGTGACTTTGTTCCATTATGTAATTGCAATATTGAATCCATGATTGTGATGACTTTATCATTTCCTCTCAGACCCCACACAAACTAATTGGATTTGTTATAAACCCTCTTTTGTTTTCTTTTGATCTGTCAACCACTGGACTTTATCCATTAATTAATGATAAAGAAACATACTAGAAGTAGAAATAATCTTACCGGTTAATTTCCTTCAATTCAGTGAAGTCAACCTAGGTGTTTATATATAAGATTGCAAATAGAGTTTTGGATGCCTTATAACGGTTAACTTCAATGGTTGTATCTAATGGTTAGAAATGTTATTTTGTATGTTAGATATGAGGTGTTTTAAATAAGTATTTTAAAAAAATTAATTTCAAGCATGTTTGGTGTAGAAATTCTGTTTTTAAGAAGTTAAAA